AGAGAGAGAGAGAGAAAGAGAGCGCTCATATAAGCCAGGCTGGCATCCCACTATGTATTCAAGGGTGCTGGGATTATAGGTGTGTGCTATTACACCCAGCTTTTTTTTTTTTTTAATGTGGTGCTAGGGATCAGACCCAGGGTTTTGGGCATGCTAAGTAAGAATCTAAGTTTCCAGGTGGTGCCAGTGTTGCAAGTCCATGGTCCACACTTTAACTAGCAAGCTTAAACTCCTGTCTGTTAGCTTGAGTACTTAGCCACCTATTCATCATCTAACTTTAGTTTGGAATTTTCACTCAAAGACAAAGGGAACACGGGGTCATCTCGACAAGATGGTGATAAACTGAGGTCTGGAGAGGTAGGTACTCTTGATACCTACTGTGGGTTGGTGGCTTGCTTGTCTGGTTTTGATTGGGAACCTTGGAGACCTCAGTGACCGGCTCCTCACAGTCCTGGCAGCATAAACAGAAGATCTTCAAGGCCAGGTTTTGGCGGGGTGCTGTAGGAGGTAAAAGGATGGGGAAAATAGATTCTGGGACCCAAATTTCATGCACTCATTGGAAATATACCAGTGTGTGTAGGTGGAGGGACATTATTGAGTCGGGCTTTTCCAAGGAGGCATGATACTTCTATGTTTTCCTATGGCCAGGAAGTCCAGGCTGGTTCCTTTTACCTAAACTACCTTTGTGTGTATGGGGTGTGTGTGTGTGTGTGTGTGTGTGTGTGTGTGTTCACATATGTGCATGTGGAAGCAAGAGGTCGACATCAGATACCTTCCTCAACTTCCTCTACCTTTTTTTTTTTGAGATAGATTCTCTTACTGGACCTGAAGCTTGCCCATTTGGTTAACCTGACTGACTAGCAACTCCCCAGGGATCTTCCTGCTGCTGCCTGTGTCTCCCTGTGCTGGGATTATAAGTGCCTGCTGCTGAACCCAGCTTTTTATGTGGATGCTGGGGTCCAAACTCAGATCCTTATGGCATGGCAAACACGTTACTAAGCCCAACTGCCCCCTCTGTACATGTTCTTACCCATAGAGAGGAGTCGAAGGTTTTACTCTGCCAGCTGGATTACTCTGGAATCTCCGGTGTTGAATTTAAGCCCAGTTCACCAGGAAGGGCTCTTTCCTAATTAAACATGAGACCACAGCTGAAAAGTTCAGTCCTTCGACTGTGTCCACACTCCAGCTGGGACCCACCACAGCAGAATCCCAGCTCCTGCAGAAATGGATCACTGGTGATCAGCTTTCAGATGACTCTGTGCCCTACCCTGTTTCTAGGTGCATTCTTATGTGGATTCTTGGACTTTCTTGAGCCCCACTTTTACTGTGGGGAAATGGGAATGTAGTGACTATTTCACAGAAGCAAAGGGTTAAATATGTGCAAAGTGACTCCGGGACAGTAAGGCTCAGTCGATGCTAGTTTCACTTCTGTCTTCCCTCCAGAGCTCATTGCTTCCAAGTTATCCCAGCTCCAGGGTTCCATATAAATGTGGAAAGAAGGTACACAATCATGTACCTTTAAATCCTGACTTTGATACTAACTTGCTGTCTGACTTTGGGTAAGCCCCTGTATCTCAGATCCCTTCTCAGTGATAAACAAGAAGTTAAACTGGGTAATTCTGTCCAAGATTTTCCTGTGCTGATGGTTCAGGAGTGTCCTTGTTTGTTTCTTCATTGCTGTGACAAAACACTCGGACCATTACCATCTTGGGGAGGAAAGGGTTTATTTAGCTTACATATCCTGGGTCACAGTTCATCCAGGATCCCAGGGTAGGAACTCAGGGCAGGAACCTGGAGGCAGGAGTTGGAGCACAGACCATGGGGGAACGATGCTTACTGGCTTGCTCCCTTGGCCCCTGCTCAGCCTGCTTTCTTATGCAACACAGGTCCACCTGCCAGGGGGTGGCACCACCCACAGTGTGCTGGGCCCGCCCTCATCACTCATCAAGAAGATGCCCTTCAGACATGGCCACAGGCCAGTCCAATAGAGGCAATTCCCTGATTGAGGCTCCCTCAACCCAGGTGTTTCTTTCCCCATTTAATGATTAATACAGAAGCTGGAATTGTCCTGTTAAAATGCACTATATCACACTTCTGGTCAATATTTCAAGTGACAGGAAAGGGATGGATATGAGAGATGAAGAAATATAGTGTTGAAGAGATGGAAACCTTGGAATAGAAGAAATTCTAGTTCTAAATAAAACAATATCTGGGGTGGGCAAGATGACTCAGTAGTTGAAGGTGCTTGCCCTGAAAGCCTGATTGACCTGAGTTTGATTACTAGGACCCACATGGTAGAAAGAGAGAATCAGCTTCCATAAGTTGTCCTCTGACCTCCACATGCATGCTGTGGCATGTGCACATACACACACATACACACACAATAAATAAATAATAAATAAATAAACTATAATAAAAACAGTATTTGAGGGGCTGTAGAGATGGCACAGAGGTTAAGAGCACTGGCTGCTTTTGCAGAGGACCCAGGTTTGATTCCCAGAATCCACATGGCATCTAACAACCATCCATATTCCAGTTCCAGGGGATCCTATGCCCTCTTCTAACCTCCATGGACACTGTACAATATGAGTGTGCTTACTCACATGCGGACAATACACTCGTAATAAAGATAATAAAATATTTAAAAAAGTGTCTGAAAGAAAAATGAATACTGTGCAATTAACAATGGAAAAGTAGAAGAAATAATGACTGAAAAGGATGATCGAAGTTATGCTAATTGAAGTAGAATGAAAAAGTACTTGAGAAGAATGAGCCTCGCAGAAGGGAGCTGAAGGTGCTGTTATCACTAACACACACGTTCAAGGGAAAGAGGGAGGGAGGTGCGGCAGTGAAAATGCCTGAAGCATGAACTGTAGATTTTCCTCCCATGTTTGATGAAAAACACCAACCTAAGGACTCGGAGTACACCATGAAAAATGTAAAATTACACCTTTCATAAAACTCAGATAGCTAAAAACTAAGTGGAAAAAAACTTTCAAACTTTAAAACCACCACCACCACCACCACAATTGTCATCATTAGCACCAGCAGCAGTAGCATCACACAAATGCATGTAAGGGAAAGAGAAAAGACGAGAACGATAGCTGATTTTGCTCTAGAAACAATGCAAGCCAGAATACAATGGAGTAACATCTTAAATGCTGAAATAAAAGGCCCAGAACGCCTGTGGAAATACCTTTCAGTAGTTTTGAAGAATTAAGACATTTAAAAACAAACAGCACGGTAAGAATTTGTGCTCAGAAGACTCAGGCTATTAAAAATGCTCAAAGTTTGTGGGAAAATGCTGCTGGGTAGAAATCCCTATCTACAGAGAAGGATGAACAGGAAAAGAGATGGCAGAGATGTGAGACGTTTATTCAAAAGGGTTTTCCCTTAATTTTTCCTCCCTGAAAATCTGAGTCGTTTCTCATATTTCTAAGAAGAAGATCCTAAGTTCTCACCTGGGTCTTAAGACATTCTGTAATCAAGTTATCGTATTTCCCATCTTTTTCAACCCCAACCACGTCCACAAACACTCTGTCTTCGATTCATGTGACTCCCCCATTAGTTCCATTCAAAGCATACTGGCTACTCGCTGAGTGAAAACCCACCAAGCTCCCAGGACAGGAACGTATGCTTACTTTTTCCTCTCTTTGGAAGGATGTTCTTGGATATAGCTATTTTCTTTCATTACCTTCAAGTTTTAGTTTTTTTAGTTTACCTTTTCTAGTGACTGTCTACTACATTTGAAACCTGCATCCCTCATCTTGCACCTCCTAATTTCTATCTTCCCCTTCCTGTTATTTTCTAATACTATATAATTCACTTACTGTGTTTAGTAATCTGCCTGACTTCAATAGATCACAAGTCATGGGGGTCATGGACTTGATTTTTGCACTGTTCTCAGTGTCAGTACCTAGCACAGTGTAGATGGTCAATAAATGTTTGTTGAATGAACGAACTAGCATCAGTTTCTCTTTTGTCTTGAGCTTTGCAGGCTAAGGAGGTAGTAGTAAATTGAGTGGTAATTTTTGTTCCAGGAACATCACAACCTGTGGGACAGAGTCACCTCCCCCCCACCCACCTCTTGCTCATGTGCTCGGCTGAATCCTGATGGTTTTGTAAGTTCATCTTAGTTCTGTTCTCTATTTACTGGTGGGAGCTATTTCCCTCCCTAACTCACTGCATATCAAATCTATTTTTCTTGTGCCTATACTCCTCATTTTCCAGAATAGTCTTCTCATTCACTTGGGCTCCAGAACTGGACACCTACTGCCTCCTACCATCCCCTACACTTACCAGTGTTTGGGCTTTAATTTCCCAGTATCTTCTCAATCTATTGTTACCATCTACTGCCATTTCCCTTGCCAGAGCCACAGCTACAATCACCTCTCATCTGGAACACTGCCCAAACTTTCTCCTTGGCTGTTCCCTCCACCTCAAGTAGGACTTACATGGCCGAAGTGCAAATCTGATCCTATTCTATCCCAAGGCCTTCAGAACTACTCCCCAGACCCTTGGATCTAAGTTCTTCTGACTCCCTTGTTAATCTCTCCAGCCTGAGCTTCTCTTGCTTTGCTCCCCATGCTGTAGCCGTGAGAGATGCTTGATGGGCAGTTCTCCCAATCACACTTTTGCTAAAAGATCAGATTCATATACTTGCCCTGCAACCTGGGATGGTTTTACGTCATGCCTTTGCACACCAAATTTGAACACTCAAAGTAGGAACTTCAGAAAGCTGTCTCTACACCTAGGATGAGGTCCCATGCCACTTCCCCAGCTCACCATGTTTCTCATGTCACAGTGTATTACTGTATAGACAATTGACTCAGAGTCAATTATGAAGAGTCATCGCTCCATAATTAGTTGTTGAAAATATTATAACTGGCTGCTTAGTTGTCAACCATCAGGATGGTAGCCTGAATCTTTCCCCATTATTTAGTATACATTTTGGAGAACTTACTATCCTCCAGGCACTCTTTGGTGGTAGAGATTCTGCAATGAACAACGAACAAGATGGACAGATGTCCCACTCATATGAAAGCAAGGATAACAGACCCTGAGTAGGTACTTTGCAAATATTTAAACAAACACAACCTCTGACTGCTGGACAACTATGAGTCAGATTTCCCTTTTGCTAACTGATCTTTAGCTTCCTACGTATAAGCTGTTCCTCATGGTGAGGTACACCCAGCAGGCTAGACACAGGCGTCTCCATTGTGTGGAATCTTTGGACCAGAAGGGGATATCTGGTGGTGAACTTAGCTCCATTCCCACTAGTCTTTTTGGATCTGTTGTCTGGTGAGTTTTTCTGTAAGATCTGAGCCCGGATGTATATCACTGTGAGCTTACTTTAATGAATTTATTTTCCAGGGTTCATAAACAAATAGAAATTTATATAAGGCAATTAGATGTTTTGTTTTGGAGATGCACCATTTAACAAACACCCTTGCCATTAATTTGCTTAGTCTGCTAATTGCTTTATTTCTGACTTTCTTCACTTATTTAGACACTTGCCTCATCCTGCTGCTTTGTTTCAGATTGTCTTGCACATGTGACCTGAAGAAGGATGTACTTCCTAAGGAAAGAGTGGACCTGCAGGTCTGACCAGCTCCCAGCTCAGGACTGACCTGAGAACTAATGGTTAAACTTCTGCTAAGTTGGTGGTTTATTTGCATAAAAAGGAAATTAATGACACCTTGGTTTGGGCACTTCAAAACCTTCATAAGCACTTGTTCTGTCTTGTTAAATAATACAACAGTCACTCCACTTAGCCCGTGTCCCAGAGTGAGTGACTTTCAGGTCACAGATCATATGGCTTCTTGTGTTTCTGCTTGGTTAAGGTATTCAAGACTCAGCAAGCGGACACGTTGCTTTCGCCTGTTTTTTCCTAACTGTAGTGTGCTCCTTCCTGTTTGTCATGAACCCCTCTGCCTGAAGTTGTTACCTCTTTCTGGAAAGACAGGTCGTTCATACTCATATTCCCATGATGCACATTCTCATGTGTGTACTTAATGGCAAAATTTCATGGTGGCTATTGTGATGAATTTTTGACGTAAAACATCAGAGGTTCAAGAGGGATGCTTCAAACAAGAGAAGAAAACAACAACGAAAAATCCTCAACACAGGGCTTCTTTGAAGAAAAAGGACAAAAGAAAAGTGAAAGATTGTGCGCCTACTCACACCTTCAGAAACCTACTTTCTTTGCCTCTTTGTCTACCCAACTTTTCCTTTACACCCACTTAGGTTCCCTTTATAGCTCTCCCTGGCTGCCTAAACACTTGCTTCAGGGGCCTTTTTTTTCTAGAACAGAACAATTATAACACTCAATAGCTCTGTAGCCCAGAAATGACTTATTCCTCCCGACTTCCTCTGAAGAGCCACAGGCAAGCACAGGACACCCTGGGAAGAAGGGTGGAGCCTAGTGCGGTGGGAGATTGAACCGGAGAAAGGAGGAGATGGCAAGATTTTGGGAAGGAAGGAACAGGAGTGGGGGAGCTAGCTTGCTGTGGACCCCGTGGGTCGCGGAGGACCTTGTGAGGACCCTGTGGACCCTGCATGGAACTCTGCGGGGCGAATGGGCATATGTGGATGTGAGATGAAGCAGACTGTGGGCAAAAGCTATCCGGCTCAGCAGGCCGCTGAGCTGTGGTGCAAAGCTGGGTGCTGGGTGTTTGTTTCTTTGTAAGTCACTCCCCCTCAAAGGTATAAACTATGCAAAATTCAGATAAAGATGTGTTATGTGGTTTGTCTACCCATGTCAGGGGCATGAGACCCTGAAGAGAGTGAAGATGGGTCAAACAGAGAGCAGGAAGGAGAAAATTTAGTGGGACAAAATTGGTGTAGTCCAGCCTGGATAAACAAATCACAGAAGTCTGAGAAGAACTTGGGGATGTGGGCGGAAAGCAGTGCGGTTCCAGTGGCAGCGCATTGGTGCATCCGGTCAGCTGAGTTCAGTTTCCCAAATCCAGAAGGGCAGAGATGGGTATGGCAAAGAGTCCTGTGAGATAATGCGACCATCCAGGAGAAGCTGGCAGGAGCCCAAGGGAGAAGGCAGCCAAACCCCATACACTTAATGGGGTTAGTGATAGTCACGTGGGTTATACAATGGATTATAAAATATGTAACTAAAAATGTGCCAGCCACACAGAAGTGTGGGCCACAGCTGTGCTGTAAATGTGGGGAAATAGCCCCATTCTGGGAATGTGAAGATTTGTTAAAGGTTATAGAAAGGCTAGAAAAACTTTTACAAGCTTTGGACACAAGGGGAGAACCCAGAGAGGGAGGGTAGCCACTTTGTATAATAAAGGATTTGCCCAAGGCAGGGGAAGCTGAAAAGGCCTGGGAGGCACTAGCAGATTCAGTTGCAGAGCTTGAGAGGGAAAAAAATTGGGACATTTTAATTTATGTAAGGTCCAAGGACTCAGGAAAAAAGACAGCTAATAGTGAAAAAAGAAATGACCTAAAAATAAAAGTAGCTAAAGCTGCCCCTCAGATTCGACCTTTTATACAAAAAGGAAAAAAAAAAGCTAACAGTACTATAGCTAGGAAATACTCCACACTGGAACTGTTGAAACTAGGAAAAACTTGCAATCAAGCAATCAAAGAGCCCCTCACCACGTGGCTGGTGAGGGTATGGGACATGGGAGCAAATAACGTCAGCCTAAGTCCTTCAAAATCTTCGCAGCTGAGTTGTATAACCACCCATCTCTCCTTGTGATATAGGCTGTTCAACCTAGGCCAGTGCAGAGGGGAGCATCCTTAATGGGATGGCTGGTGGAAGGCATTAAAGATACATGGTCATCACTAAAGCAAACTCCCATAATTAACAGAGGCTGGAGGACTATAAAGGAGGGACAGGCATTACTGAGAGAGCCAGCTATGAGAAAAGCAATATATGATGCCCAGGTCACTGGGCCAGATAATACTGTGTTTACCAGAGATATAAAGGAAAGCTTAATTCAACTGGGACCTTGAGAATGGTATAGAGCTTTAATGGTTTTGCTATGCCCTTTAATGGGACAGGATCTTTGTAAAGTGAGAGAGGCTTTAGCAGGTCTAAGTGACTCTGACCAGTGTGTAAAATGTGTCTGTAGACTAACAGAACACCCTACAAGAGATATAAAAAAGACCAGACAGAAGAAATGGTCCATTTGGGTCACTTGAAGACAAATGTGGCAAGACTTATGTCGAACCCAATTTCCCAAAGAAAAAATTGATAGAAAACCAAGTTCGGTACTAAGGAGTTTCTGGAAGACTTTAAAACCAGAACAGTTTACAAAAGGCATTCAAAGGATAAAAACTGTTCCAGTGGTGGTTAAGGATCCCCAAAGATTGAATGAAGTGCATTTCTCTCCTGATAAAGGCTGTATTAGGGGTGGAGGCAGTTTTTCCCACCAAGGCCTCCCCCAGCAGCCAGGTATGGTCAAAGGAGAGACGATAAATATGGCTACAGTCAGGAGGCAGACCCCAGGGCCTGCCTGACTCAGGGAACCAACAGGTACAGTGGGAACAAGAGACCCCCTGCCTCCTTAGCCCAGTGCGGGGTCAGACAACTGGAGCCAACACCTGTAAGTGTATCAAGGATAAAAGAATACAAAGAGACTCCAGGTAAGATCCCCAGAATCCAACATGACTCCAAAGGGATAACTAAAGATAGTAAAGAATCAAATTAATGCTTCTTACCCATGTTATGGTACCTAACAAAGATCTATGGAGAAAACAGTTAACATGAATGCATAAAACCTTCCCATGCTATGTTAGACCTTGTCTATGATTGATTTAATATACAATGTTAACCTTTGAGTGTTTTACAGATGTGAAACCTATTTGAAAGATACTTGAAGAAACAAAGGCCAGCTATAGCTGTAAGATTCTTGGGAGTTTTATGGTTGGGTAAGATTAAAACAGAGGCTCCCAAACTATACAACTGTTAAGAAAACCTACAGTACCAGGGGTGGGTTGCCCCCCTATGAGCTGTTGGTCAGAGAGAGATCCTAGAGGTCCTCAAATTTACCAAGGCTATTGCCACTGATGTTGGTTGTACACTAAAAGTTCAGTAAGGCCATGTTGCTGAAGACACTGAATGATGTGAGTGCAAGACGAAAAGAAATGGAGTCTCAGATGGAGCTGAGACTAAGCCCAAAACTCCGTGCCACTGGATGGATGATGTTCATAGTGCCAGAAGGCGCTATGCAGATGGTTGGGGAAGAAAGGATCTCCTATGATTTTCTTCAACAACAGATCCCATGTGCTGCACTGTGGACATGCCAAGCAATGCCTGCAAGTGCAATAATGGCTTGACTAACATACGTACAACTGACAAATTTCTTATTGCATAAGGCCCGTTCCTAGGGATGGAACACACATCTGGTGCTGTAGACCAGGCCAACCCCCTGTGTCAAGAAAGCCTACAAAGCCCTAGTGGGGAAGCCATTGCAAGTATACTGTTTAGTGAATATAGTACATTTACTGGGATATCTTCTAGGCATTTTTATTTACATTCATGTTTGTTTAGATGTGTCTACTTCCTTCCATTTGTCTTTATAGTAGGGGAAACACTGAGATAGATCAATGGCTATGTCTTGAAGACGAATGATGGGGAGGCCCAAGAAGTCACTATCTTGCCATGATACAAAAGAGATTTCCCTACATCAATACCCTCTCCAGGGCTCAGGGACCCTTGCAGAAGATTGGTGGAAAGATTGTAAGAGTGGAGGAAAGGGGTGGAGTGTAGCCTGGAAATGACTTATTCCTCCTGACTTCCTTTGAAGAGCCACAGTGGGCACAGGGCTCCCTGGGAAGAAGGGTGGAGTCTTGTGTGGCAGGAGACTGAACTGGAGAAAGGAGGAGTTGGTGCGATTTTGGGAAGGAGGGAACAGGAGCGGGGGAGCTAGCCTGCCATGGACCCCATGGGGTGCTGAGGACCTCTCGAGGACCCCATGGACCCTGCATGGAACTCTGCAGGGCAAGTAGGCATGCATGGATGTGAAATGAGGTAGACCATGGGCAAAAGCGATTGGCAAAAGCAGTCTGGATCGGCGGGCCACTGAGCCATGGTGCAGGGCTGGGTGCCAGATGTTTATTTCTTTGTAAGTCATCCCCCCGCCCCACGCAGGTATAAACTATGCAAAATCCAGGTAAAGATGTGTTATGTGGTTTGTCTACCTGCGTCAGGAGCACAAGACCTAGAAGAGAGTGAGGGCGGGTCAAACGGTGTCAAACAGAGAGTGGGAAGAAGAAAATTTAATGGGACAAGCCCCTAAAGTGCCTTTGAGAGAAGATGGATCCAGAGAGTGGCTTTAAACCTGGGATGAGAAATGGTAGAGGGTAAAGTTTAGAATCTTCTCGAACTTGAGCAGCAGAAGCGACTGTATCTAATTCAGGATTCTGTTAGCTACTCAGTGTTCAGGAATGTCATATATTTGTACTGATATGTCTACTTAGTGGTTTGCTGTAGGGATGAGGGAAAGTTTAAAAACAGAATGGAAAAAAGACCCAGAATATCTAAATAACCCACTTATGTATAATTAAAAAACATACTTGAAAAGGCAAGACCAAGGGAGAAGCCCCACATAAAACTCTTTGAAAGTCTCTCAGAGTCATAAACAAAATGAAGATGAATCAATAGAACATGTGACAGACTTTGGGATGCTTTCAAAAAATATTCTAGGTACCCAAGAGATTTTTTTTTTCAC